TACATGTGGGTCGAATGTTAAGCCAGAATCGAATATAACCCCAAGGTTTTTCAATTTTGATTGGAGCTCAAGTACAGAGCCATCTACAGACAGGGGTTACATGAAAGCTGATGTACTCTCACTGTATTATATTCATTCATCTGAGAAGGTTTAGCAGATGCAAGCTGACCTTGATTTAAGGAACTTGGTGGATGGCTGTATCAAAACTTAGAGTTGGAAGAAACAGGCCTCATTATAACCTCTAGGAGGGGGGGTTACTACCCATACAGGTTTGAGTAAGGGACACCAAGGTCAGCATCCCTGTGTCCTGGGGTTACCATGGTAACTCCCTTATTTGGCCATAAATTCCTGGGATGAAGATGAAGAAGACAAGAAGGGAAGTATGATGGTGTGTTGTCTGATGTAATTGGAGAGGGTAGGTGTGATTGCTTAATTCTAACTATTGCACAGCACATTTTTTTAAACAATCAAGGTTAGAAAGTTACAGTAGAGGTGGGCAATGGTTAGCCACCAACTCCCACTTGAAAGTGTATATAACGTCAGATGGTTGCTCCTATTCCTTGAGATAACTGTTGTTTATGGAACTCTCATTGTGCAATTCTCCTCACTCTGTCTGTGGTCTGATTCATCTTTGGGGCCGCCCTGACAGCTTGCCTACAATCCTAACACTACTTTCAGCTTCAGCTATAAAGTAAAAAGAAATCAAGGTGGATAAAAAAGAAGTGAAGTTAGATATCACTATTAATTAGTGTTCAGAGCTGACATAAAAGGATTCCATAGTTTTACTCCAACTTCAAGAGAATTTAGGATCCCATTCCCTTCTATGCTTTTAAGAGAAAGTAGTGTGCTTTTAAAAATATTTTGATTGACCACAAGGTAGAGCTATGCGCCAAGTTAAAAATCAATCTGGTGAATAAAGAGAAATTTGATAAAATATTGGTGGTGGTGGAGGGGATCCCCATTACCTGTAAAGCGCTTTGAGTGAAGTGACCTGAAGAGCGAGCGCTATATAAATGTAAGCAATTATTATTATTAAAATATATTACATGTTATATTTCTGCTCTTTTGTACTGAGCTGAAGGATTTCAATTCTGAAATATACTAATAATGGCCCTGGGATGACTTATCAGAGGTCCCTTACCAGTGCATTATCTACCAGCCTTAGACAGGTACTTTGTTCAGTGAAGTTTGAAAGCCCTGCCAGAGGGCTGTGAAGATTTCTCAGTACAGTCTAATTGCCACCTTGCACTGATAGCAGAAACCAGGTCATTACAGCATCAGGGAGCTTCCACAATTTTGGAGTTTTCACTTGAAAAGAACACAAAAGTACAGAAAAAAATAAAGGCCTCCTTGCCCCTGCTTGTCCTTTTTCTCTCTATAAAAATGCAATAAAGACCACAAATTATTACAGCACCATTGACTTCAGAGAGTTTAATTACATTACCTTTTTTTAATCTTTCTAGTTTTCTGACTATTAGGTTATATGCTGTTATTTTTAGTGAACTAATGAAGTGATACCAATTGAGCAAGCACAGCAATTCAATGTACATTTTTAAAGTATTTAACACACAGTGAAACTTTACAATCTAGGCATCACGTAAATGACAGATACCCATTCAATGACACAGCACCACCACTATAAACCTGGCCAAAAATGAAAAATAACTTGTAATCACCTACTAAACTGTAGCTGCGAGAGGATGATATGGATTGAAGATTATTTGGATTAACACAAGCATAACTGCTAAATTTAAGTCTTTTACACTCAGCTTTTTAGCAGCCCACAAGCATCCTTCAAAGAAGTGCTCTGTAGCAAAGGATTGTCCAGTTCTAGCAGTTAATTTCTCTGCATGTCCAAGGACACGGTTCACATTGTCAGCGAAGAGAAATGGCTGCTTCTATGACGCAAAACAGCAACAGCAGGGGTGTGCTGTCACGAGGTCTTCTCTTCCAGGATGGCTCTGACCTGCACAGGGTCTGCCCGGCCCTTCACCTCCTTCTGCACCAGACCCACCAGCCTGTTCAGGACCCTCTTGTTTCCTCCCTGGATCGCTCTGACCTGCAAGGTGTTTTGAAGACATCAAGACATTTGATAGTGGCCTCTCCGGTTACATCTCTTCACCGCCGCAAAGAAAGCAGCTCATGGGCAGACCTGGTTTTAGTTACTGAAAATTCTATCAGTGGAAAAAAGAACAACATTTTCCCCTTTATGTTTCCCTCTCCCAACTCACTCCCTATTTATCTGAGCACTTGAGAAGCAAGACTGAATGTTGTTTCTTCAGCGGTTTTCTTGTCATCTACAGAAAAAGCCATCTGCCACCTTCTCTGTTGGTCATATACAGAATGCTTACAAACGAGAGGGCGTCTCACCGAGGCTCTCATTCCACTACCTCACCACATATGTTCTGTATTTTCAGAGGACCCCAAATGTCTTAACGCACGATAATCACTCTGATTGCATCATTTGTAACAAGACAGGATGCACAACCAGGAATGTCCCCAAGTATAGAAATTGGAAGAGCTTTTAAGAAACATGTTGTGTACAATTTTTCACACAGACCTTTACAAAGGCAGAAAGCAGAACATATCAAATGATGAGAGGAGTACATACAAAAACGCTGTATGTGGCATTGAACTGCTTGTTACCACTGCCCTCTGCAGGAATGTCAGAATATAATTAAAGAGCAGTCAACCTGCCCAGATAAGTAAGCATGTCATGTCACTTGTGAGTTGAGATAACACACAAGTCCAAATACCTCGCCTACACCCGCTCAGCATGAAAGGTCTTTCACAGCTGAAGAGTGACAAACTGGCACAACAAGCTCACCTCCTCCTGGTGCGAGTCAATAACAGCCTGACAGATCTGCTGGATTGCACCTCTGTCATGAACCATGCTCAAATCCTGTTCCTGAACAATCTGGCTGGCACTTCTTCCAGTCCCTCTCCACAGCTCCTGAAAGACCTGTCCAGGAGGGTGGGAGCGGAGAGGTGCAACATTATAACTCTCCTCACAAGGAGTTTAGATAAATTCAGTGATTTTTTTTATTGTAAGAAATTCATTCAAGTCTCCAATGAGCTTGATTCTTACTTGTGTCTGTGAAAACTATACACATATTTAAACTTGACTAAAAGAAATCAGCCTGTATAAAATATGTATATGCATGTATGAAATAAAAGAGATAAATAAAACAAAAAAATCCTATAAAATAAAAAGTGAATTATAAAACGTTACAAGCCTGAAGGAATCATAGGTCAGGATCCATATTGTTCAGACTTATAAAAACTCATTACAAATGCATGGTTAGTTTGTATTCTACAACAGATAAACAAATTCAGACATTTCTACTTTCTTCACATACAGTAGACTGGGAAAAAACATCCCTGTATTATTGTTTGCATTAAGCATCACCTGCCAGCTGTTTGCCTAATCTTAAAGTACATCTTAATCGTTCTGAATATCATTGTCTTCTTGTTGTTGTACTGTCTACAAACTTATTTAATACTATAAAGACAAAGAAATGTGAGCACCTGAGTTAAATACAAATTTAGTACATCAACCATTTTTCTTGCCTTATGTATTTGTAGATGTGTTTTACTTCTTCCTTTATGGTTTTATGCTGCTGTGGTACCGAAAGATTTTATTATTTCTTTTAGTCTCCATTGCCACATTTCTTTCCACCTCTTTCTCGCCCTTTACCTAACTCTTTTAGCCTGTGCCTGTAATTCATTGTACTCCTTGTTGTTAACTGGGTCCCACTGTTTTCCAGTCATTTTATTAAAGTGCTTTCTTTCCTCTCATATTTATCCTAATGATTTGTGATATTTTTTAGCTTTTAATTGATTCTTGCCAGGATAAATCTTTTTTGTGTTTCAAGCTTCTTCGGTTGTAGAAGTTTCTAGTTAGGCAAACAGACCTTAATAAACTGCTACCACAGCTATAAAAGGACATTACATTACAAGGGTTGAGAGAAACACTGAAAGGAATATTTAAACAGATAATAGAATAGAATAGAATAGAATAGAATAGTACATAAAGTGTCTCAGAATTAAAATAAAAAAGTGCCTCAGAAATATTGTTTGTAACTTTTAGATGAAAAAAGGGAAATGACTCATGTATTAAATGACTACTTCTCTCAGGTGTTCACCAAGTAAGATACTGACAGTATGCCTCAGGCTGAAGAAAGCAAAGTTCTGCATTAAATAATATTACCATGGAAGAGGTAAAGTGTTAAAATAACTATTAGAAGCATTTGAATTCCCTGGACCTAGTGAAATTCAACCAATTGCCTTAAGGAAGGCAATTGCCATAAGAAATGTTTTTCATAAGCCTTTAGCAAAACTCTTCTAACAGTTCCTCAAGACAGGTGCAGTACCCACTGACTGGAAAATTGCTAACACAGTGTAACAAGGATAAGCACTAGGCTGGGACTCTGGATTTCACAATTTCAGTAAAGGAGCCACACAGGACCAAGGCTGTATGTAAATGGTCAATGTTGTGGTACACAGTCTTTCTTTCCTTCCTGTCCCTCTGTTCCAGGTACGGCCCCCAGCACAGCACCTTCACACTCCTAGTGCACTGACCCTGACTGTGGTAGTGGACTAAGAGAAAGACCTATTTACAGACTGGGTGAGCTATGGTCAGCCTGGTTACTATGACAAATTTATACATATTTCCACTCTACAGAGTGCTTAATGGTGACGTACTGTAAGTAAGACCCATCTTCCTTTGCATTTGGCTTGTTTTTATTTTGTATCTAGGTGTCATTGGTGTGTGGCTATTCTGAAATAAATTCCAGTCAACAGGCTGAATGGTTTATTCCAAGTTTGATGGTATTGTAACATATGTTTATTACAAAAGAGACATTGATAATTACTACAATAATTACTACAATATTACCCACCCATAAAAGGTGCAACAAAACTGAATTAAGTTTTACCTGATTGTAAACCAACAAGTCTTACATCTGTAAGATTATGGAAACTATTTAAAAATAAACAAGATTATCTGTATGGCAGTAAGATTTTAGTCAAAACAGATTTAGATAACGTCAACTTTGTTAGAAAATCTAATTTTGTTAGATTATATTTAACAAGCAATAGAATACTGGAAAAAAACAAAAACTAATTGTGTGATATTTACAGATTTTGAGAAGGCTTTTGATAATATTTGTCATAAAGATTAATTCTTAAATTGAAGGCACTAGATATTCAAGGTAATACAGATCTTTGGATTAAGAATGGATAGGAAACAGTACAGTTAAGGGGTGGATGCTGAAACTGTAATGATGTTGTTAATATTAATAATTCCTTGCATTTATATGAGTAACCTTAGGAAATGTTTTGTTAATGTCCTATGAAAGGCTTCACTTGCTTTCTTAAATGCAGCTGGTACAATACCATGAAGCCCTGGAGATAAATTAATCTTAAACAGTTCCAATACTTGTAACACTTTTGTCTTTCTGTTCCTTAAATACAGTAACTCTGTTTAATTTAAAACTTTATCTTTGCACGTTGTCAAATTTTTCATTGATTAACAACTGAATTAAATATTCACTTCATGAATTTATCACTTCCCTTGTTAGTCTGAGTCACTTCATCCTTTATTGGCTTATAGAAAGAAGAACCTGGGATTAATTTGAAGAAATCATAAAAAGAAAAAGAACATTTGTTTACCGAGGGGAAAACATAAAAAAAGTAAAAGATGAATGCGCATTTAATACAACTTGTCTATGCTTATCTCTTCCAGGTAGAACACTGACATGCTATGCCGAGGCACATATCATTATATGATAAAAATATAATGACAGTACAGGTGCTGAAAGGTCTTTCTCTTACCAGCTTTGCCACTGAGGAAGAGATCTTCCCAGCTTCCAGGAGGTTAAGGAGTTCTGCCAAAGAGGACGGGGAGATGGGGCTGAAAGGAATTTATTTGAAACCAATTAAATTCCATTATACAGGTTGCTGAGACTCTCTCTAAAATAATTGGCAATGTCAGGACCCAGCTGTATATAACTCTGATAATCATGGCAGTCAGTCCACAGACTGCACACACACAGGTCCTAGGAAACATGGAGTCTAACACTGCTGCCAGGGTCCTGGGTTTGAGTTTTCACCAAGGTACCAAGGTGTCTTCCATTTCCTTAAACAAATATGCCTCATAGGTTAAATGGTGCCTCAAAATTGTTCCTTTCTGCTAATGTGTGCATACCCTGAAATGAACTGCCATTCCCAAGAATGGGGGTGGCAAGGCTCCTAGACCGTTACCCCTCAGTCTGCAGCTCCAAGAGGGATTCGCTTCTGGACTCAGACCCCTGCTGGAGGCTACCTGTCATAGCTCCACTGCCAGGGCCAGAGTGATCCACAAATGAGGAATATCTCACAGGGGTATACCGCAGCATTTTACCAAGTATAACTAGTATCTCTTTATAACCCCTGCATGACAGATCAGTCATTTCTGTGTATTACATCATATTTACATACCCTTGTATTGATTTACTAGGCATATTTTATTGCTTTAATACTTTTTTTTAATTTTTAAATCTGTCTGTACATTTCTGTTTGTTCGGATTCCTAGAAACCAAGAGGTAACTCTCTTAATTTCATGTTCCAAGTTGTCATAAAATATTTTGAAAGGATAAATACAACGAATGGTTAAACCACTTTGAATAATATGAATAATTTGAATAATTTTCTCTCATCTCCTATTTAAGTGAAATGTTTTAACATATTAGCTACTTTATTAACATCTTGCTATCTTCACCTACAGCTTGAGCATTTAAGTTTTGATTTAAACTAATCGCTTTGAAAAAAGGTGTATGCATCATTTGTAATATAACTAAATGGAACATTATGGCAAAAGGGTGAATACTGGCACTGTAGTTTCAATATCATACTTCACATTTTTTTCGTCTCACCTTGAAAAGTCTGATTAACAAGATGCCATTACAGGTATTATGTGGCAGTTGGTAATGACAAGCGGAGCACAGCGATGCTCATAAGTTGTTCTAAGGACACAGTAAAGACAGCAGGCGAAAGGAGCTTCTCTCTCTCTCCCACACAACAGTGAAGATTCACCTTTGGCTGACATTCAGGCTGTGCTGCTTCAGGAGCGCCAACAAGTCTTTAATGATCCATCCAACCACCTTCTTTGGCTCAGTCGTGGTCTCTTGCACTACACTCACAAAATAGTCCATTAACCCATCTTCATTCTGCCACCAGGGGAACAGAAGCAAGGAGAACAGACATCAAACCCTCATGGTTTTTGAGACACGGCTGGTCAGACAAATGCTTATATTTCCTCTGTATTTTTTAAAATTGAATAAAATATCCAAACACACACTTTTCATCTATTTTGCGGTCATTTCTTTATGACATTTTTTTGCACATAAAAATAATTTTAAGCTACTGAAGATGTGCATTGAGTCAAGCACAGAATAACTAGGTACTGAACTCGGGTTACAGACTTTAAATTTGACTGTACTCATTTGCTTGCCTGCTTCAAAATAAAACTTGCCTTTCCTTCATAATTAAATTAGAACTGTACAAACTCATTTTTCACTGCAATGTGAACTTTACTAAGCATTGTATTTCTCAAGTTTGGATTAAGGTAAGACAATAACCAATGCACCAATAATCGATACACTTCACCTGACACACACAATTCATTATTTATTATTTAAACATTCATTATTTAATAAAATCAACCAGCTCCTAGTTTTCGTTCACTTTCTTTCATTCAACATTTCTCACACAATTTTCCTTTTTAAAAGCATATCTAGGACACTATTTTAGCAAATATTTTAGTAACTAGTAAGATAATCCATCAGAAGATTTCCTCCAGCTGAAAGAAGCCTGGTTATGAGGTTCAACAACATGGCTGAGTAGCTCTCACAACCCTTTGGCTAAAGAAGTGGCACCTGTTGTCAAATGTAAATACACTTCTACATAGTTTCCTCTTGTGTCCTCCAGTTTCACTGTTTATACTGAACAAGTTCATTGAGGTGACTTTGGCAGTGCCTTTGAGGATTTTTAATACTTAGATCAGGTCCCTTTGAAGTCTTTTTTCTTAGCTTGTGTGCCTAACACATTTCCTTAAGCATAGGTAGGTATGTAGCTGCTCTTCTCTAGATTGATTCCATCACAGCAATATTAATAGACGACGGAAAGGTTTGAACAGTCAATAGGAAAATGTAAAAATAATAATAGATGTAACAGACTTATCTACTTATAATTAATATTAATTATAAATATTAAATCCTAATAATGTATTAATAATTGTCTATATCACAGTACTAAATTCCTAAATAGCACTCTTCACAACAAGCCACTACACAGTTAAAATTTAAACACACAACAGACTTATTAAAATAACAATGAACAAAATGTATGCTAAAATTAAACCTAATTCTTCATGGCACCAGTACAGCAAACAAAATTGGCTAAACAGCATGCGATCCTAAGGATTTGTTTTGTTCTTTAAACCAACAAAAATACAATTCTTCCCAAGATACACATTCAAATAATGTTATAGAACATGTAAATTGCTGGTTCAGAGTGTTAAGTGAGAATAATTAGTGAAAGGGTAATTTCCATCCCCTTCCCACGTCCCTCCAAAAACCATCTTCACAGGAACAATTGAAACCGAAAGAGAAAGAGACAGAAGACACAAAAAGAGCATAGCAACATACTAATTACACTAACAGTCTCAGGAGGCCCTGAGTAGCGCATTAGCAACAGGTTAAAGTCTAGGGCGTAGAAGGGAGGCTCAAGGGAGGAATAAGAATGGGCGTAAGAATGGGCAGGGGGAGGTTTGCCCTCCCCTATTTCCTGCGGCGACTGAGGAGGGCAAACCTTCCCCTGTCCATTCTTACCACTTTCTACAGAAGCACCACTGAGAGCACCTTGACCAGCTGGATCACTGTTGGGTTTGGGAATTGCAACGCTTCTGACCGCAAGACCCTGTAACGATTGTGGAAACAGCTGAAAAGATCATTGGAGCCTCCCTCCCTTCCATTCCTGTCACCTACTGTATCACAAACACTGCCACTCCAATTCCAGAAACAGGTTTTAAATCCCCCCAGTGTCTTGTGTATATTGTATTACAGTATGTATTTGCCTTAGTAATTTGCACTTTTTGCACTATGTGTATCCTGTCTATAATGGAACAAGTAATAGGTTTATTCCATGCTGAAAAGAGAAGAAAGAAAATACAATGTTTCGGCTGTGGAGCCTTCTTCAGGTGTGAGAAAGACAGGGCAGAAAGCAAAGGTAATGTAGTGGGAGAACAAAAGCTGGGAGAGAGGAGGAGTAAGGGGCAGGAGCAGGGAACAGACAGAGAGGCCAATCCGGAGGTGTGAAGTCAGGATAGGTGAAGAGAGGTGTGAAATGAAACCTACAATGAATAGAGAGAATTTAGAAGAAAAGTAGTCTTTTGTTTAGAGAAGGGGGAAGGTGTGATCCTAGTTGTAGGATAATTTTGGTTTCTGTAGTCTTTCTGATGTATGAGTTTGGAAAATTCGGACAACAGCTACCCACCTGAACTACTCCTGTCTATAATGTCTATGTCAGTGTCCTGTCTGTATTTGCCCCATGGACCAGGAGGAACGATATTTCGTCCCACTGTATACTTGCATATGGCTGGAATGACAAATAAACATGAACTTGAACTTGAAGGGAGGAATACAATAGTTCCTTCCAGACTAGTCAGGAAGTTAAACAACCTGGGTATCAACACCTCTCTTTGCAGGTGGATTATGGATTTCCTGACTGGCAAATCACAAACTACGAGAGTAGATGGAAAGCTTTCTTCCATGCTGACCGTCAATATAGGTGCCCCTCAGAGCTGTGTGCTTAGCCCCCTGCTGTTTTCCTTGTTTACCCACGACTGTGTTGCCAGACACACCTCCAACACCATCTACAAATACCCTGATGACACTACCATTATTGCCCAAATGACTGCTAATGATGAGACAGCCTAAAGGGATGAGGTCATGAGCCTGGTGGAGTGGTGCATTAACAATAACCTCTCCCTCAATGTCAGCATTGAGGAAACTATGATTAGATCAGCCCAGTCCATCACTGGAATACAGCTCCCCTTTCTGACATTTTTACAACTCGCTGTCTCAGGAAGGCTGGAAGTATTACTAAGGATGCCAGTCATCCTGGTTTCTCCTTTTTCTCTGCCCTTCCCTCTGGTAAGCAGTATAATAATTAATAATAATAATTGCTTACACATTGCTTACAGTAGCGCTTTTCTGGACACTCAAAGCACTTTACAGGTAATGGGGATTCCCCTCCACCACCACCAATGTGCAGCCCCACCTGGATGATGTGACGGCAGCCATAGTGCACCACAACGCTCACCACACATCAGCTATCAGTGGGGAGGAGAGCAGAGTAATGAAGCCAATTCATAGGAGCATAAAGTCACAGACTTCCAGATTCAGAGACAGAGTTTCTTCTCACAAGCTGTCATATTACTGGACCCTACCACTGGCTCACACTGATGTTTTTTTTTAAGCTGTACAGCATGTTATTTAACTTGAGTGAACTTGGGCTGAAATGGACTCCCACTAGTCCTCTTGAATAACTGTGTCCTGGTCTTATTCCTACTGAGTTTTAATTATGGACAGGGATGGACAGTGTAATGAAAAAAATAAGAAATGTAATAAATTTAACGTGGTACGTATACAATGCCTTACTTGTAGATATTGAAAAAAAGTGAGCTTCTAAGTTTTTTTTATGCTCTGTCATTTGCTTAAGAAACATTCATGAACAGGTTCTTACGATGGCATATTAAATACTGTTTTCAGTTTTAAATGACTTTGCTTTCAGGCCTCAGCTTTTGTTAACAATTCCTTTTGCAAATCATTATTTGGACAAGGGAAAGCCTTCTGATAAGGACAAACCCATGGCGAAGCACACACAACCCTGCTGTTTACTCGTCACGCTCTCCACAGAGGAGCCTTGGCGTTCCGATGTCTGCCCACCACAAGCACAGGAAACCGACTGGCTCCCAGGAAGGGTGAGCCAGGCTCGTTCTCAGAGCTTCTCCTCATGATTTAAGCATTTTCTTATTTCCCACTGGAACCTTTTACAGAGGTCCTTAAGACTACAGAAAGAACTTGAAGCAATCTGGTATGAAGTGAAGCACAGCATTAAAGGAAACAAAATCCCCAGCAGGTTCATAAGAGACCTCATAATCCCTTGATTGATACTGTAACTGAGAGTGAGTTTTAAAGTGTTATACATCAAAAGTACTCAGAAGGCAGAAACTGGGCACAGTCCCAAAGGAGTGACTGCTACAGAAGAGGGAGACAAGTTGATCTCTGCTCCAACAGTGGTCATCTCCTCTTCTACTTATCTTTATTTTTGTGTAAATCATACAATATTCCCATTGTGCATTGAGTGACCTGGATATAAATAAATAAAATATCTGAATCCAATTACTACAGCACAGGCGTTTTATTATAGATCACCTTGAAGGAGCTCAGCACTGAAATTTTTTAAAAGAAAGAAAAGACTAAAAAATGTTAGACCACAAGCCTACAGCATACAGGAAAGGAAACAGTGAATTACATATCATCCTAAGCCGAAGAATTCTCAAAGTGAAAACAGTTTCTATACATCTTAAATGAGGAAGTCCTATTATTTCTTATTTTTTCTGTCATAAGAGGAGACTCTTAAATATAGTGCCACCTTCTTCATCTGTGTCATTTTTTTGCCATTTCTTGGTGTGAATCTTGATACAACTTCAAAACATTTATTGTAAGAAGAACCCTTCATGTAACCCTAAAATAATAGCATAATCAAACAAAATGAAGCACACTGACATGCAAAGTTAGTGTAGTAGTGCAATATAATCTAAATGAAATGAGGAAAAGCAAGTTTAAGAAGTTAAATCAACATTTTGAAAAAAAATCCTTGATCCAGACTTAAAGTATACAGGGATATGGTATTCCATGGCTTTGATGCATAGCTGCAGAAGACCCTGTTTATTTATAGTGTGACATTTTGCTTCAGGAACACTAAAATTCCAGTCATTAAGACCACAGATACTGTAATAGGGTATAGGTACAAGTACTAATTGTGTCTTTATGACAGCCAAATTATTGGCTGTCATATTGTATAAAGTAGCAAAATTATTCAAAGCCTTGTAGTATGGAAAATGAAGTTTCAAATTAATCCTAAACTTAACAGGTAGCCCATGCTAAGCAGATAAAAGAGTAATGTGTGTTTAGAACCTAGATTTGGTTAAAATTCAAACAAGCCTGTCAAAAACAAATTAAGAAGACGCAGCTAGCAAAGCATTCTAATAATCCACACTGGAAAACAATAGAGCATGAAATAGCTTCTTCAGTGTTAGATAGTCAGGCAATGTGCAAGTGAAAAAATAAAATCCTTCAATTTCATTTTCGATCCTAGACATGCTTTGAAGTCTACTAAAAATCAATGATGACACCATGATTTCTCAACAGAGACTCATGAAACCTCCAGGCCATCAATAACAATGTCAAAACACTTAGTTGTATGTATTCAATGGGGGAAGATGAGCAGCATCACCAGTGTCTATCATTATTAAGATGCATACATATTTGATGCATCCATTGCCTAATTTCTGACAGGCAGTTTTAGAGGGCAGAAACAGTCAATTCAGTGGTCTAGACCACAAATAAATAAAGACCATATTCATTATAAACATAGAAATTAAAACCTTACTAACATATAGTTTTGGCACTATATAAATGCAAAACAGAAGAAGACCCAAGACTGATCCCTGTGGGACACGAGAAGAGACTAAGGATGAGCCTGAAAATATTTGTCCCTTTATCACAAATTGCTTTTGTGCCATCACGATCTTTCCCAGAATTACCCACATAATTCTTTCGGCGGTTAAGAAAGGGTGGTTAACAGCATCAAAAGGAAGCACTATGCTATTATACAGCAGTTTAATTTCAATGTAATGGTCTAAAACCAGACTGAAAGGTTAAAGAGCTTGTTATTCTTTAATTGCTCTTGGAGTTGGTGCTATCACAACATGTTCCAGAGGACGATAATTCTTTAATAATGGTTGCCACAAATAAGCAGAACACCATGAAGAAGCAGGCAAAAGAACAAGCTGTGTTTCTGTTCTGACCCAGAACAGAAACCGATGAAATACTGCTGTGAGGAAATCAGCGAAAACTCATTTTAATAATATCTACTTTAATGTGGAAGAATTTCAGGATTGCGTTGCACTACTGTTTTCAGCCCAGCAATACATCGGCCTCTAAGATGTGTCTTACAGTTTTAAAAAGGTGGGAGGGTGTCCTGACATTTTTTGGAATCTTGACAAGGTCAGAAAAGAAGACCTAGCAATTATAAAGGCATCCCCATTTAAAGTGCCTCCAAGCCTCAGAATGAACAGTAAGAGTAGTGTCCCTCCATGTGCACTCCAGGTCACAGGCTATAGATTCCATTGTGCATTGCAAACTCAGCTCACCAGGGACAGCAACGAGTGGATAAAAGAGACGGATTTTAAATACTTTAGGATCTCTGACAGTGTTGTGCTGTATAATTGAACTGCAGCATTTAACTGAGTGTCACACAAAAGAGAAGCTAAACCTATATCAGCAGGAGTGAGCCCAGCAGGATTCAGTGATTTCAAGTGACAGAAGGGATAGTGTGCTTGGTTCTGGATGGTGGGATCCGATATTCCAATTTAAGCACTCAATTCAAAAGCTGAAGAAGTTAAGAATACAGTATTCAATCTGGAAGGGGTGGTAGACCCCTGACAAAAGCAGGTGAAAATGGAAGTTTTCTGTAAAGAAATGATAACAAGAGATGTGAAAATAAAGTCAGGATGTTGCAGACGGTCCGAATGTAATGCCTTGAAGAATGTGGCACTTCTAGAAAACTAAAGTCAGGACAGGAGAGGAGAGCTGCCATTAAAATAGCCATTCTGTTGATGCCATATTTTAGCCATAAATTACAAATATTCTAATCTTCTGTTATATATGGTAACCTTTCCCACTAGCAGACCTTTATTAGCTATAAATAATGTTAACCTAATGGATATGGGTTAGGATATCAGCTAGGACCAGACATTTGGGATGCAGACATACTGTTGATCAGAGTATCAGAAGAAAAGAACTCCACAACCATCATGTACATTGCTTTCTAACAACAAAATAAACTTTGATTTGAAACACCATAAGCATACCCATTTTTGGGGAAAAAAGCATACCCATTTCAAAATGTGTCTATTCCTACCCACTTGGGTATCCAAACCTGGGAACTTACCATCAACAGACATGTGGCAATGTAAGAAACATACAATACAGCAAGAAAGTCCTAAGCAAAGTGAAATCATTGGTGTGTGCTGACCATTGGCTTATGCCACAGGTGAGAGAGAGCGAGAGAGCGAGAGAGCGAGAGAGCGAGAGAGCGAGAGAGAGAGAGAGAGAGATCCACTGTCTTTTCAGTAGGCTCTTGGACAACAAAGAGCCAAAGTAGGTCCGGGTCCAAAATCACAGATCAGCAATACTCAGTCCAACTAGAGCAGCAAAAAGCAGGCTTCAGCAATCACAAACAATAGTACCTAATCACATACTGTACCTAATCAAAGCTCAAGCAGATTAAAATTCAAATACTTAAAAAGAAATCTCTGTCAAAGATTCTGCAGCCAACCTGTTCAAGTGTACACTCAACAGAAGTCATGTTTTAGGCAGAAAACAAGATTTAATGAAATAGCTAAAAAAAATGTTGGATGTACTGGAAACATTTTTTTTTCCTTTGTTGGGTATTCTTCTATTTTACAATAAGAATTGGAACAGTGGAATTTGGTAGGATTTTAAATAATCAATTATTTAATAATCATAATCAAAGACCCCACACACCCCAGCTACAGACTTTATGATCTGCTACCATCTGGAAAACGGTACCGGAGCATTCGGGCCCGGACTACCAGACTCAGAGACAGTTTTTTCCCCCGCACTATCAAACTGTTAAATTCCCAGCCTCTCTCACTCTCACTCTCACCTCATCTCTCACCTATGATCTGAACCTCACAGTGCCTTCTTCCTTTCCTTCTTACCAAAAACACATTGAAAATCTACCTCTACCATACATGTCAAAAGCTCATTCCCCATAATTTCTATCCCTTTACTTCATTTTGTTGATGCATATTTTTGCACATAACCTATTACCTTTTTGTTGTTTTGCACATTGCCGGTTGTTGTTTTTTGCACACTGCCTGTTGTCCCTGTCTTTCTTTTGCTACACAATTGTATTGTTGTTGTTGTTGTTGTGTTTTTTTCTCTTTGTACTACTTATGTCCGAGAGCTAGCTAAATAGCATTTCGTTATACCATATACCATGTATATGAGTGTAATGACAATAAACTTGAACTTGAACTTGAAATACTTTTAAAGTCTGTAGAGAAAGTTCCAATGATAAAAACTATCTACAAAAACTATAGTAATGTGAAAAAGGTCAAGCTAAAGAAAGAAAGGAGTTGGCCAAAGCCAATTTTAGAAATCCACGGTATGGGCAGTCTGGCTGCTTCGTGGAAAGAACTCACCACCAGTGTGATGCTATGCTCTGGGAGAAGGCCGTAGTGCTCCACCAGATGTCTGCGCTTCATCTGAGGCAGCTGAGGTAGCTGCTCCCTGATCCAGTCAACATTGATGACCTGCTGAGGATCTGCATTGGGAGGGACTGTCTGCCTGTCATACACTATCAGAGGCGGCAGATTAGGTTCCGGCATGAACCTTAAAGAGAAAAAAAAAAA